CTTTTGCGAAATCGAAATAAAATTACTATGAACTTTGGTATATCTTTTTCTCATTTAAAGAGAAAAAATTTTCAATCCCCTTCTTTCAAGGAGAACTTCGGTTTTCTAATTTTATCTGATACGACTGAAACGTGATGAAGAACCAACAAATTATTTACATCAAGCTGATAATATGCGCGTCTTTTAACAAGCGTTGTATTAACAATGATGATAAATTGATCAGGTAAAATCTACGTCGCACTATTGATTCTTCGATTTCTCGTTGGTCAGACGTTTTCTAGCAATATGCAAAATAATGGTACGTAATTATACGGAAATGAAGATGCTGGCGCCATACGCTGTGTATCAGACACTTGTTCGCCCGGTTCAAAAGCTGCGGAATAGAGTCCACGAGACGTTTGCGATTCACGGGACGGTCCTCGCGCACATGCATTTGCAGCTACAGGTGCAGTCTCGTGACGTCACTATCCATTGTTCTGCAAGCGGCGTGGCGGAGGTGCGCGGATCCTACATGCGGTGCAATGACTGCATACCGCTTTTACGAGCCTTTCTTCGCCGAGCCGAGGTGTTCTTTTTCGGACGACCGGACGAACGAACGGTCGCTCCTCTCTGCTTCTCGATGCCGGGAGCGATGTTGCAGAAATACATGGAACATGCACGGCGGCTAAGACCAACGCATAGATCGAATGCAGCAGCCATTATACTCTTTTCCTTCTTGAGCATCTCGGAAACGACGAGGGTCTCGAAAGGAGGATGTTAAAAAGAGTCCGATTTCTGCCCAAAAAGATGCAAGTAAACGGAATAGTGTTTTTTAAAAATAAATTTTGATCTTCTGAACACGATAATGTTAATAAAAAGTTCGGGATTGATACGGAACACCTTGAAAACTGAGCATAAACATGATATATTTAAAGAAATTTTAATATTCTGGTTTACTTTTCAAGGTGTTCTCCACATGTCATGAACTTTTTAATAATTTTATCATATTCAGGCGGTCAAAATCTCTCTACAAGAAACACTATTTCTTTTACTAATATTCTTTAGAGCAAAAGTCGGTTTTTTTTAATATCCTCCAAAACAGGACAGATTTTTATCCAAAAAGATGTACGTAAAAGAAATATTGTTTTTTGTAGATCTTGACCTGAATATGATAAAATTATTAAAAAGTTCGTAACATGTAGGGAACACCTCGAAAAGTAAACCAGAATTTAAAACTTCTTTAAATATATCATGTTTATGCTTAATTTTTACGGTGTTCTCTGTCGATTCCGAACTTTTTATTAACATTATCATATTCAGAAGGTCAAAATCTATATTAAAAAGTGCTATTCCTTTTACTTACACCTTTTTGGGCAGAAATTGGCCTCTTTTTAACATCCTCCTTTATTATTGTGCTATAAGAGCAGTTTTACGGAATTACGTATTATCGTTTTATTTTAAACGCTATACTTCTATTGACGTTTATAGAATTCTCGCTACTCCTATAATCGAAACAGAGCAACAGGTCACAATAACGCTAAAATGACGTTAAAATTAATCGTGACTGATCGGAAAAGTGACTTTTAACAGTCATTTTAGAGCCAGTTGAAGATATTTTGAAGTTATTTTGATATCATGATTTTTTTCTTTTGTTAAGTATTAATTGGTGTCTAATTAAACTTCGATATCTATCGCGACCTTGTAAGGAAACGATTATCGCGCGTGTCCAATTGCTGCGAGATCTCATTTCCTCGGAAAGTCGAAACCAGCGCGGCGCGGCGATTCGGTCTCCCGTAAACAAGTACCTATGCATTTAATATGCGATATCGTAACGGGGAACATTCACTGCTTTCGATCGCAAGGAAAGCCTGCGATCCGCAAAATCGCGAGGTATAAAACTTTTACCGCGGCGTGCGCTTTGCAGCCGTAACACGTACGCGTTTCAGGAGAAAGAAATTCGTCAGGGCACTCGGAGACCCAGCATCCACGAAGTTGCAAGGCTCGGCTGCCGTGGATGCGTTGTAGTAAATATGTACGCGTTTGTAGCCGGTTCGACTACATTTCGTGACGGCGCACACCCTCTCGCATATCGTGCATACACAACGCGACGCACACAAAAGCATAATAAACGCGTCCCACACGGATGCACACAATACAGAGAAACGTTGAAGAGGTCCCGAATCTTTCTCGAGTGGGTCCAACACGAGGGGCCTGTGAGGCCTCACAACCAAACAGAGTCCATATGCAAAACACATGCGGAAAGCGATTGGCTCGCCAACGGAGACCCGTGTGGTTCATTCCGAAACTCGTGTAACGAGCTGCGGCGGTCCAGCTCCCGATACGAAGCTCGGGGTCTCGCATTCTACTTTGTCGCATGTTGTTATCGAGCGATTAATTCGGGCCCGCACACACTTTGCATGCAGACACTCTTGGGAGAGTTAGGGGGATAATGGACCGCGATGTAGGAAATTGCGCGAAATGGAGATTAATTGCGCACCCGTAGTTCGCACGATCTTCGTTCAGTCCGTTGAGCATGACGCTTGTTTTCTACGTCCTGTTTACGTGAATTGAGGAGGAGGAGGAAAGAGGAGATAAAAGGAAGGAGAGAGATCATGAACCCATCGTGGTGCTAGATTATCCTCGATGACATCACATCGTACTGAAAATAAAATATCGTCGCTAATCAGAATTTTTAAACAACATCATCTTTAAATGCCACGTTTCTTTTGTTTACAAGTCATGTTGTTAATATTTCATTCATATTTTAAACATATGTTAGATGGCTAGCTATTAAAATATATATACGACAAAAAGTTATACGTTTTAAATATTTATCTTACTCTAAAGTTTTATTAAATTATATATAAAGTTAAAATATATATATGATTTTTAAAAAACTCGAATATTTTTATTCTGTCGCTTGCGGCGATTGTAGAAACCTACAATTGTCTTAACTCGTAAATTACTTAAATTAGCTACGATTACTCTCTATCACTTCTCGACTAACAGGTCTGTATTCCCTTCTCACATTAAAGAGATGCTGCGTGAGATTGGATTCCTACGGGAATCCTTTAGCGATATGAAACCACAGGATGTTGAATCGCCGTCGAGATTCCAGCGTGGATACAACCACCCACGTACGAACGTGTTCGTTCCCGACATTAGGCTAACGTGATTTGATCTCCGACGATGTATATACGCACATACGCACGTACCTACATCCATCCGTTCGTCCGTTCGTTCGTTCATTCGTCTGCTCGCTCTAATCTTCCCTTCTCGGACACGCCTGAAATCACAATTTCAAATACCCTAGCTGATTGTAACCTACACGCGGAATAGTTGAGTCTTTTTTCGGCGTAAAATCGAAGGTGCTTTATAAAACGAGAGTCAATACCGCGCTGCAATTGAAACCAGCTATTAATCGATAATTTTCGAAGTATTTCATACAACGGAACGTCGCGCCATATGGTAAGCGGTAAAACGAAAATATATTGGTTCTTCAAACATAATTATATATATTTATTAAACTTCAAAATGAGGCTAACCTTAAAAACGAGGTTTCATCTTAAAATAAAGTCGACTTGAAAAATTGTACCAGCTGTATATAATGGTGACCTATTTTTGAAAATCTAAAAGGAAAGTAGGTCTATCAATCCTCGTGACTAATTTGATTTTTTATAAGCGGAACGAATATTCTTCTTTCTTGCAGAAAGATAACATAATTTCGTCCATAGAAGATGTCGTTAAGACAATAAAATTACAGGAAAATGATTTATATTGCGACAGCAATACGTGACTCTGGCAACAAATTGCAACGATATTTACGATCATGCGTGTATCGTATTTCTGCTACCAAGCACGGAGTGCAGATACAGGGCGTTTATGAATCGTAGCGCCTAGTGACTGCACCGCGCATTCAAATCACCGGTCAGTGCTCCGCTCGGCTATCTACCTCCACGGCGAGCTGGAGATCGCATTGCACTTTCGTGCCACGGAAATATTAATGTAAATATTGCGGAGACTCCTGCGTGTTCCATAGGAGATCGTAATTACGATTATATTAATAATTACATTATCATGTTCTTGCGATAATTAGATGGGCGTAACGTCGTCTTTCGATATTCGTGAAAAAATGTTTAGAAAAATCCTACAACTATTCAGAAGTATTATACAACTTAAGATTCCTTAAACCAAAATTCTACAAATCATCGTGTAAATTAATTGACAATTTTATTATTATTTACCTTTCAATATTCTACTTTTTTATTCCTTATAAAAAGTGAATGGCACAGACGGACATATGTTTAGGACAATTTCATAACGTCATAAAGATGTCATAAAGGCCATTAGCGAGTTTATAATGTCTTGAATGGATTTATGTATTTTCTTATGTTAGTATTGATTTATATAAAATTTATTCTTTATCTTATATTTAAGAAAGGATAATAATTTACATAAATATGCAAGAGAGAGAGAGAGAGAGAGAGAGAGAGAGAGAGAGAGAAGCACATAAAACTCTCATCAATATTCAACACTTTTAATCTTTACAGAACGGGAAAATCTCTATAGTCGCGTTGAAACAGTGTCGTATTTTGTGACAGTGTCATATTTTGAGACAAGCAATACAATAAAATTGTATATTATAACAAATCTTACTTAAGGAGAAGCTGTAAAATTTTAAAAGTAGACCACCATTTTCTAAGAGATTAATGTTCTCGTAATTTCTATACCCATTCAAGCTTGCTTGTATTATTATCGCAAATTGTGAACGCTATTTTTTTAATTCTAAAAAACACGTAAAAACATTAACACAATTTATTAAAAATTTTTTAATTTATTAAAATTTTCTTTGCATTTATAAGTTTATTAGAAAAGTGAAAGATTTAGCTTTCTTGTTTAAACAAAATATTTTTTCTGAGAAGTATTTGTTATATAATTTTAATCTCATAAAATGTTTCATAATTGTATTCTTTAGGATTAAGTAAAAAAAAGTTTGTTAGATAATGTAATTAGCAACTCACCCTGACCGGTGTTTCTAGATCCCCATGGCACAGTGCACACTGGTAAACACGAGTAATTTCTCTTTCTTTCTTTCTCTTTTGTCACTGATAATGTACCGAAATCCCAAAATCGTGGGCACGTTTCACTCGCGAACAAATTGCGACGAAGGGAAAAAAAAGAAAGAAAGAAGAGATGAAATTAAAAAAAAAAAAATCAAAACAAGAACTCGCGGAGGATAGAAGTTATAAACCGCTAAGAGAAACGCTGACGATCAGCACGTTCCGCGGCAACTTCCCCTACGACAGAAACGGACTTTGAGTCTTCGGAGTCGAGTCCCGGCCGTTCGCTCTCAGTGCAAAGGACCCATGGGTCTTTGCGCTTGCGCATCGGGGCCCCTCTACCGGTTGACAGGGCGAAAGGTGGGAGGAACGACCGGCAACCCCCTTTCCACAGACCTGCTCCTTTTCGTGGGTTACTTGTGTACGTGTGCGTGAGCATTATGTTTGTCTTTACCTGTGGGTGTACCTGCTCAGGTGGCAGCACCTCACCTGATAAGTGCACCTGATGGTAGGTCGAGGAACAAGGGAAGTGTGGAGCAAGGTGTTACGCTAACGTACCTGTCTATATCTACACGACAGCTGATTTTTCGATATTTACAATGATTATTCTTTTTTTACTCCACAAAAACAATGTTGATAAAGACATTGCGAAATCTTTTTAGGACTTTTTAATCTAAATAGATATTCTTTGCTTTGATTTTTACAAGTTGATAGATGAAAATGTTTGATTTTAAAAAGCTATAGATTCTATTTTGTAATTCTTAACGATTGTAACGATTTTATTACGTTGTCTTTGCGCAGTTTCTTTACCTGTATAAAACCTGCGAAATAACAATTTAACGATATCGTTACAGTCGTTAAGAATTATAGAATGGGAGTCTAATCTAATAATCCTATTCTGTATAAACTCTTAATAACTATAACGATATCGTTACAATGGATCGTTGCGCAGGTAGTTTTGCACATAGTATAATGCTGCGCAACAACAACGTAATAATATCGTTACATTGTCCTTGCGCAGGTTTTGTACGTAGTAAAAAAGCTAAGTAACAACAATGTAACGATATCGTTACGATCGTTAAGAGTTGCAGCTGTTACAGAATAGGGTTATAAGCCCCCTATTCTGTAACTCACTGTAATGATATCATCACGTTGTCGTTGCGCAGGTTTTAATATGTGGTAAAGAAGCTGCGCAACGACAATGTAACGATACCGACACTGTCGTTAAAAGTTACGGAACACGGGTCTGCTCTAAGAGAACTTATAAAAGAATTCTAAAAGAAGATTGTTTAAAATCTTCAAAAATTCCAATTTTATTAGATTTGAATTAAACATTATGTATTAATAACAAGTATTTTGACTAATCATTTACCTCAAATTTTATTTTCTTTTGTCTTGGAATTCTTAATTCCAGCAGTATAACGTATGCGAACGAAGCTTTAACTACAAATTTAAAAACGAATTAATTTCGAACACCGTTTCTTCGATTACGTCAAAAGGGAGCGATTATTACATAATTGCAATAATTGCAATCGCGTCGCCCTCGACCATGCTGTTCCTTCCGGTCGAATTCTTGCATTCAACCAGCCGGGACGATAAGATCCATAGGAATTCGCGACGTAACGCCTTATGTCTCGTCATTGAGAATCGTGGGGAAAAGGGAACCGTGGGGTGTCGGGTTGAAGGAAGGGAAGCTAGTGCTTCGGCGGACACTTCGATGCACACCGGTGAGCAACGCCGTATGCGTTAATAATTCCCTCGTCTTCCTTTCGTTCCTTCACTTCGCTTTCGTGCGCGGTTGTGTTTGAAGAGGGTAAGACAAAGACCCTCAAATTCTCTCCCTCCTTTTCTTTCTCTGTCTACTCTCTTTCACTGCTTCCTTCCGCTCGTACACACGAAGTGCCTTTTTTATCTTTACAAACATACTCAGTTTTACAAAGGTAAAACATAACTTTTTGTACGAACAATATTAATATTTAATTGATGTAAATGGCGATTCTCTGCTTAGATTTATTATATATTTTTCATGGATTATTTTACTTTAATTTACTTCACGTGCATTATGCGAATTTGACGTATTTCGCGTAAATATAATGGGGCTCCTTAAAAAAATAATTTAATTTTGATATGTCAATCATCGATTTTATATGCAACGATCACATAATGCATGCGAAAGGCAATCTTTAGCAAGAAGTGCCGAATAGAGTTTTGCTAGCACATTGTAGAAATAGCAGAATCATTTACCGACAGGTCGATGCACACGAGTGAACACGACGATCTACGGAATACGAAATAGTTACGGAAACAGTAGCGCGTTGTTTAGCTTTACGTGTTGCACATTCTCGTGCAGATGCAATAAAATTAGTTAGAAAGATGCTTGAGTTCTCGCAATAAACTTAAAACGTTCGGTCAGTCAAATAAGAAAAAATTTAAACAGTTTTTGCATGTATATATATTTCTTATTGAAATAAATAATTTTATAAAGAAAAATGGAATCGTCTGTTTAAAAAAATTTAAATATAATTAAAAAGATATAATTTCCATAATAAGACGATATGTAATTCCCAGAATTGTTATAAATAATATTTTTTAAATTTGTAATATTCTAAATTGTGTACTTTCATGATACTTTTAAAGTAAGTAAATTTAGTAACAAATCGAACGTCACAATTTGTTTCTCGTTAGATAAAAATGCAAATGTGTTCTGTTTTATGATATAAATAGAAGTTAAACTTTAAAGTCAATTATTGAAAAAGGTTTATCTAAGTTTAAGCATCTTAAAATGGTGATCGAACATGTTAGCAATGTGTCCTTTCTCGGAACCGCGAGATTATCTACTTTTAATATTTGAGTTATGAATCATCGACGCACACATTTGCACGTGCGGAGTTCACAGAACGCGCCTTTTTTTTCGCATTGTTATACATCCACAGACGGGAGCGAGGAAAGAGACAGTCGCGCATACATTGTTAAAGAATTCGTGCACGTGCGTGGGCGTGTCGTATGCGTGAACAGCTTGGAATTCAAATCGAGCGCAGAAAAGAACTACGTTTGTCAAGCACGTTCGGCAACCCGACACGGTAGTTAAAAGCAATGAGAGATCTATGAAAGTGAATTTCACGAAGAAGAGAGGAAAGGATACATATCTTTTTACAGGAATGCATCAGCTTCTAGTATGTAAGATGTAAACAGGGGGAAAGAGAGAAATATTATACGTAACATTATGCCATGGTAAGAAAGTCTTCTTTCGTTTCTTTTTCAAAGAAATTCAAAATTTTATGTGTAAAAGTAAAGCTTTATTAAACAGCATATTTTTTTTATTACTTTTTGTCATCAGATCTTCGTTATTCTATTTTTATTACAGTAGTTAATTACATAATGTATTCGTAAAATAATAATAGCATTCACAGAATTAAAAAAAATTAATTGAAAATTATATTTTAAATAAAAAAACCTTTATTGTGTATGCAGACTCGTAATGTTACAATTGCTACTATACGCGTATTTACCTTCTATTATTTTATTTTTATGTATAAAATTATTCTACAATATTTTATTATATAACATAATATTAAAAAGTGTTCTACTCAAACATGATACGTTACGGATAATTATTCAGCGGTAAATTAATACTTTCTAAATCTTTTAGAGTGAAATCTCACTTCAAAAGACCGAAAATTAAGTCAGTTTTGAAAAAAGAGTGAAAATATTTTTACTTTTGAACAGGAGTGACAAATTTCACTCTTTTGAAGTGAAAAAAAGGAATGAGATTTCATTCCTTTAGAGTAATACTCACTCCAAAAGAGTGAACATTTACCACTCTTGTTCAAGAATAGACAATTGTCACTCTTTTTTCAAGACGTGCAATTTTCACTCCAAAAGATTGAGAGCGTATGTATAATTAAAATATATTTACAATTTTGTTATTCAGTTTTCTTGATTCTTTCTCGTGTAAACAGTTGCAATAATGATTGGCAATAATCACGCAGCAAACTTGTTACGAAAATCATTTGCATGATTTCGATGACACCATTAACACCCACAACGTCCGTTACCTTTTCTGTTGGCGCTTAAACCTAGAATTATGCCGTTGCAAGTACAGGTTTATGCAACGGCATAATCGCATAATTCTAGATTCAAGTTCCATCAATTGAATATCGGCCAAGTTTCCCGACTTCCTTGATATTGTAAAATATAGCAAAGTATTCGATCGGTTTTACATTATAAAATAAAAGCGTTAAAGAAAAGCCTTTGAGAGCCAACACATGTTGTATAAGTGTATAATTACATATATTTGATTAAAAAAGATAAATATACATTTCGATTTTAATTTGGATCTCCTTCAGTATAAATTTAATATTTACAGAAAAAGATCATAAATAAACATTGTCACAAATATCGGAGTAACAATCATCAAGAATATCGATGTAAAAAAGTAAATGTGGTCAAATATTGGCTAATTCTCTTCACATCTAACAAAATGTGATTATTTATCGTCTTTACATCTAACAAGATGTGATTATTTATCAATTATCAATATTCTAATAAAATGAACGATATCTTGACGATTGTTACTCCAATATTCGTGACAATGTATATGATTATTTTTTTCTGTGAATATTAAGTTTATATACTAAAGAGGATCCAAATTAGAATCGAAATATATATTTATTTTTTTAACAAAGTATATGTAATTACACACTTATACAATTTATGTTGGTTCTCAAAGGCTTCTCTTTTTAACATTTTAATTTATTCATTAGAGCCTTCACTTGAATTATTTATAATATAAAAGCTTATATATAGCAAAATAATTACGCCATACCTATACTATCAAATTTAATATCATATATAAAATGAAGAACCTTTATTAACTATTACGTAAACTAGTTATAATGCGTACTATAAGGATAATCTTTTTTCTTTAAGATCTTCTTTAAGAAGATAACACCGTTCAATGATTATCATAAGCCGTATTAATAAAATGTACATTCCAGACGAAGGATGAAATTTAACAGTGCATCTAGAAAACTCGAGAGTGTTACAGATGCTACTTTCAACATGTAAACTTCGTAAATAATCGGTCTCGACTTTTGTTCGTAAGTGTGTGTGTGTGTGTGTGTGTGTGTGTGTGTGTGTGTGTGTGTGTGTGTGTGTGTGTAGATGTTATTATTGTAACAGTGTGTGTGTGTGTGTGTGTGTGTGTGTGTGTGTGTGTGTGTGTGTGTGTGTATGTGTGTGTGTGTAGATGTTATTATTGTAACAATAATAGTA